CGGGCAGCGGTGGAACGGCAAAGATACCTCCCAGCCTGCAGACAGCAAAGGGTTAAAAAGTGAGCGCGGGTGGGAGGATCCGTCTGGGAAGGGACTCATTTCACAACTCCCAAAAGGAATGTGGAAAATCCACATTGCCTGACACCTGCCCCAGGTTCCTGCCCCGGGTTCTTGCCCCACGCCGACGGCGCGTGGATCCGCTCCCCATCCGACTCCAGAGTCTGCAAAGGGAAGCAGGGCACCGACGGCGACGCCGTTCCTGGCTTCATCAGCAGCCACCGAGATGCAGCAGTGATGGCTGAGAGAGTTTATGGCTTTTTTTGCAGGAGTTGGACGCGATGATCCCTGTGGGTCCCTTCCAAATCTGGATATGTGATGACGCTACGATTCTATGATTCCACGATTCGATGATTCCTGCTCTATTTTTTAGCCAAGGACAGGAAAAATGAAAGAGGTGGAAAATCTCTGAGAGATGAAAAACCCTCTCTAGGAGATGGAAATCATTCTCCACAGGTCATCTGAGCCAACATTTCCTCTTGCAAATATTATACTACATGAGAGAGACCGACACAGAAATGCACTGCGATGGCAAACGGGTGTTCAGCACTTTTGATATCCAAGCTTTGCTAAGGGAAAATTTCCCAAACTTGAGTTTCTATTTGCTGAGAAGAGGAAATTTGGGCATTAAAACCTGCGCCAGTCATTTCTCCGAAGACGTTGGTTGCAGCTCTACTGGATTAGGAAACCCATAGGATGAGTTGGGTTGGAAGAGAGGATCACCCCCTTCCAACCACAACGGAATAAATGCAAAGAGGTGCTGACCATGAATGGGTTGGGATCCTGGGATGATGCTGGGATTGCGGATGGATTCCCAGGGAGATTCCTTTCCCCTGAGCAGAACTCCCACTCGGGAATCCCAGCTGCTTCCTGGGCTCCATCCCACTGCCCCACGCCTGAGCGCTGTGCCAGGGAAGTGCTCCGCCTCACCCAGCACCTAAAGAGCATCGATGGGAAATTCCAGTGCCTCCGAGAGCTCTTCCAAAAAGGTAAATAATAATAATAATCACTTATTACTATTAATATTACTAATACTATTACTAACAACTGGTTATTGTTATAAACAAAAATTAGGAGCTCCCTGATTGGCTCGCCAGCCAAGTAGATTACTACTGACAAGAGCAAAAGCGATCCTGCGCCATCCTTTATTTGCTGAAAGCAGTGAGCTTACGTGTCCTGCAGACCATCTTCCATTCCGCTCCTCTCTCTGTGGATGTTTAATTACCCCAATGGCTTCTCCTGGAACGAAGAGCGCTAACGGATGAAGCGTGGCCGCGCTCTGAGTGCTCGGGTTCCCCGTGAATACCATGCAAAATAAAAAACCTGAAGTGTTCCTGAGGGCGCTGGGATGACTTGCAGGCTGAGCAGGCTCCGTGCTGCCCTGTAATCCGCGAGCACAAACAAAATCTCCCCCGAGGAATTTCCATCCCTGCCATCCTGCTCCCTCCACCCACAGCCTCTGTGGTGTCTGTTCCCCGTGCTGAACGGGTTGGGTGGGTGCTGCTCCTCCAATTAACCACAGCCATTCTCTTTGCTTTGGGTTTTACCCATCGCAGTCCCCCAAATGATGCCGGATGCAAATGGAAATTGGATGTGCCCAGGCTGGCTCTGGTTGGGGGGTGTTTTCCTAAAATATGTTCATGAAGTGGGTCCGTGTAAACCCAGCAAGATTTCCAGGCTGAGTGTGTGGTGTTGGGTTGGGACAATCCCAGATAGGGGAGGAGAACTCATGGAGAGCAGCTCTGAGGAGATGGACTCGGGAGAAACCACATTGGATGGGGTCTGGGCAGCCTGGGCTGGTGGGGGGCACCCAGCCCATAGCAGAGGTGGGGCTGAGGGGGCTTTGGGTTCCCCAAGCCAGCTGTGCTGTGATTCAATGGCTCTGTGATCTTAAGATTCCTTCCAACGCAAACCCGACCCAACCATTCTCTTTTTCTATGATCTCTCAGAACCCTTCCAACCCAACCCAACCCAACCATTCTCTGTGTTTCTATGATCTCTCAGAACCCTTCCAACCCAACCCAACCATTCTCTGTGCTCCTATGATCTCTCAGAACCCTTCCAACCCAAACCTGACCCAACCATTCTCTATGTTTCTATTGTCTTCAAAGATCCTTCCAACCCAAACCCAACCCAACCATTCCCTGTTTCTATGATCTTCAAGGACCCTCCCAACCCAGTCCATTCCGTGGGCCTACGGTCTTTCAGGACCCTTCCAACCCAAACCCAGCCCACTCCATTCTGGTTCTGTGGCACACTGTAGCCCTGTAGCACGAAGCAAAGTGTCTGCATTGTGGAGACCCTCACAAACATCTCTGGTGATGAAGAAATGGACAATTTCCAGACCCATCCTCCCTCTGTGCATTGTTTTTTTTTTTTTTTTTTTGGGGGGGGGGGTTGTTTTGGCCTTTGTTGCTTGTTATCTTCCATTCTGCACAGAACTTCAATGTTTGGGCAGAGTTGATGAACAATTCCCCCCCTGGCAGAGGGGGGGAGGGGGATGCAAAAAAGAAAAATATATATATATAAAAAAAATCGTATATATATATTTTTTTCCTCCTTTTTAATTTCAGGTGAAGCTGTTTCGGGCCCCGTTGAAGACAAACTGTCAGACCTCCTGCACGCCATCTCCTCCTTCCTGAACACCTATCCTGCTGTGAGCGGGGATGCCATCCACTTGGCCACAGCCACGCTCGTCTCCAACATCAACGGTTGGTCAGCTTTCCCTTTGGGGAATGTAACTGCTGCAGCCTTCTGCTCAGCAGCAGAGGGACGAGCCCAGGTCCCTCCTGTTGGGGAGATGATGATTTCAGAGCAGGAGAAAAGCTGGGGGAGGATTAGGCTGACCCATAGAGCTGCTGGCTTGCGCAATGCTTGGAGGTCGCCAGGTGTTGAGTGCTGATTAAGGAACGCCATTAACAGCCCCTTGGAGGTCAGAGCAGTGCTCTGCTCCGCTCTGAGCCCCTTTCAGTGTGAATCCTTCATGCTCTTTTTATTCCTGTGCTGTGCTTTTCTTTCTTGGGGCATCAGACCTCCTTGAATCTGGTGGAAAATCCTGAAAGCTCGAGAAATGGTTTCTGCCCATTGATCTGGGGCTCAGCTGAGCTTCGAGAGGGAATTCTGCATGTCCCACCCCCCACATTACAACACACAGCCCCCACCAGGGCAGAGGACCAGCACGAGGCTCTCGGTGAGGAATGGGAAATAAGGGAAGCACATCACACAGCAGCCACAGTCGCTTTCCTCCCCCATTTGACTCCTAAAGCAGCAGCAGTGGCACGAAGGGAAGTTCGCAGCACTGCGCTGTCGTTCTCTAAAGCAGCAACACGTGGAGTTCAGCCTTTGGAAACACGGAGAGTTTGCAGGATGGTGGAGCTCAGCATCACCAGTGAGGCAGATTCCTGCTCTGCCATCAGCGGCGATGCGACCACAGCAGCAGATGGGAATTGCTGCTGGAGGACCTTGCAGTTACCCTACGTAAAAATTTGGGTTGCCTTAGAAGGAGACGTGGGGATTTTGTTTGCAGAAACTCCCCCACTTCCCTTTTTTTTTTTTTTTTTTTTTTGCACCTCTGATCTGCAAAACAAAGCTTTGGGTTTTACCAAAAAAAAAAAAAAAAAAAGGGAAATGCAGTGAGAATATGTAGGAGACCAAATGATGGGAATTGGGAATTGGGAATTGGGATGGTAAGTGGTATTTCTGGTGAATAAGGAGTCTCGCCCTTTGTTCTCTGTTGGCTTTTATGGGTTTTTTATTACTGTGTTTGGGTGCTGGGGGTGTTGACACAGTGCTGTGCTGCAGACCTTCAGGCCATAAATGCCTTCACACTATAAAAGCAGTTTTATGGCTTTTATCTGTGAACTCAGCTCTTTATAAACGGGGTTTGGTAACGACACCGACGTACCCATAATTATAGGGGCTGAACACAGGAAACAGAGACACGGGCTGGGGAGGATTTGATAGGAGAAACTCGCTGTGTTAACACTGATTTCTTTCACCTTCTCCCCTTTCCCTTTTTCCTTCTTCCTTTTCCTTTTTTCTTTTCCATTTTCCTTTTCCTTTCCCTTTTCTCCTTTCTCCTTTCTCCCTTCCCCCTTCCCCCTTCCCTCTTCCCCCTTCCCCCTTCCCTTCCCTTCC